TGTATATGTGCATTATTTATGGAAGAGTGCTATCTGCAAAAAAAAAAAAAAAAAAGGTGTGTGTGTGTGTGTGTGAGTGAGAGTATGTACTGTTGAGCTGGTTCCAAAGCATGATGACCCCATGTGTCAGACTATAACTATGTTCCATAGGATTTTCAGTGGCTGTTTTTTAGAAGTGTATCATTAGACTCTCTCCCAAGCTGCCTCTGGTCCCTAGGTTTACTGGAACTTTCAAACTTCTGGTTAGGAGCCAAGCACATTAACTGTTAGCACCACTCAGGGACTCCTCAGACTTACCTAGCAGTGGGGAAGTTGCCCATGCTCTCCATCTGATGGGGCAGATCTGTATTAAGCAATGTATTCCTCCATGTATGTAGCAGGCATGTCTTTACCTATGCATCAAACTTTTCTGCTACTTTTAAATTATAAAAAAATTAGATGAGTGTGCGGGTCAGGGTCAGTACTAAAGAAAGTTGTTACATTAGAAAAGTTTCCTGATGTATATAGCCTCCCAGTCATTTAAAATCACTCCTTTAGACATTTGGTGATTGTCAAATTTGGATACCATTAGCTCTTTTCACCAAAAGCAGCAACTCAAGGACCAACAAACTTCTCATTCCTTCACCTGCACTAAAATTCTTATTTTACAGAATATTGAGTTACTGACCATCTAATGTGATAAAATAATACACAAAGAATATAGAACACAGGTCTAGTTGTCCCAACTTCTCTTACCCTCAGTTAAGTCATAGGAAGAGTCCAAAGCTGAAAGCTATTTACTACTCTTTTTGAAATTAAATACTCCTGAAGTTAAACAGTCTGATAATGAACTTTAAAATAGAAAGTGAGACTTTTCTCTCTTCTTCCACTTAAACTCACTGTTACCTTCTTCTTAGCCAGAAAGCTGACATAAATATTATCACATCCACACATATTGATGTTGTTGTTAGGTGCTGTCGAGTCAGCTCTGACTCCTAGTGACCCCTATATACAACAGAACGAAACACTGCCCAGTCTTGTGCCAGTCACACAATACTTGCCATACCTGAGCCCATTGTTGCAGCCACTGTGTCAGTCCATCTCCTTGAGGGTCTTCCCCTTTTTTGGTGTCCCTCCACTTTACCAAGCATGAGATCCTTCTCCAGAGAATGGCCTCTCTGACAACACAAGCAAAGTAGGTGAGATGAAGTCTGGCCATTCTTACTTCCAAGGAGTACTCCAGCTGGACTTCTTCCAGGACATATTTGTTAGTTCTTCTGGCAATCCATGGTACTTTCAGTATTCTCCAACACCACAACTCAAAAGTGTCAACTCTTCTTCAGTCTTCCTTATTCACTGTCCAGCTTTCACATGCATATGAGGTGATTGAAAACACAATGCCATGGATTAGGTGCACCTTAGTCTTCAAAGAGACATCTTTGCTCTTCAGCACTTTAAAGCGGTTGTTTGCAGCAGATTTGTCCAGTGCAACATTTCATCTGATTTCTTGACTGCTGCTTCCATTGCTGTTGATTGTGGAATCTAGCAATGTGAAACTTTAACAACTTCAATCTTTTCTCCATTTATTGTGGTGTTACTTACTGGTCCAATTGGGAGGATTTTCATTTTCTTTATGTTGAGGTATAATCCATACTGCAAACTGTAGTCTTTAATCT